AAAGGTGTTCGTGATACAAGAAACAACAAAGGCTATCTGTTGTATACAGTTTGCCTTGTCACAGATTGTTTCAGCAACCAAAGATGTGAGCAGTCTTGTTCCTTTAAAGCAGACTATCCTGGAGAGGAAAATGCTAGAGGTTCACTTTGTCCAGGAAAACAATCCTACCTATCCTCACCTACCTATTTTTTTTCCTCTGCTGACTGATTGCCCATAATGCCATCAGAACTTTTAGAGTCAGGGCCTGGGCCATGGTAGCTCTTACAAGTCATGCTGGAACACAAGCCTTGAACAGCCTAATGAAAGAAACAACGTAACCAAAGAGCTGATTAGAGAGAGAGAGAGAGAGAGAGAGAGAGAGAGAGAGAGAGACAAAGAGAGAGAGAGAATTTGTTCCGTGTGGATACATAATAAAGAGTAGAAAGTCCAGTGACTGCCTATCTCCAAGACCATCTTTGGGGACCTGGCATGAAATTTGGGTTTTAACAGAGGACAAGAGGTACTTATAACTCATGAGCCTTAGTCAGAGAGTAGCCCTGCCCATCGCTGACCCATTACTGTCAGGGCTACAGCCTCTCCCCCTAAGAAATCTGACATGTTGTCAGAACTGTGAAATGTCTTTCTTGGAGACAAAGTTCACCCTTTGGCTAGCATATCAACTCTAGTCTCTTCCTTTGCCCAGCCCGAACGTTCTTGCAGAAATTTCAATTTCTTTATAGTCTGGGAGCCGAAGGGGTACACTACTGTCTCTTGAGAATGTCTTCATTCCTTCAAAGATGTTTAAAATGAGATGCAAAGTTATCTGAGACTTTCTATAGTTAATGTGATTCTGCTGGTTGAAGATACATGCGTGAGGCCCATACCTGTTACAGATATATGTGCAACTGTAATCTTAAGGTTTCTACTTAAACATCCAAAACAGTGTGTTCCCTGCCAGCCAGCACTGGAGTTCTGACATTTCTCTTCACTCCCCTTGATGAACATTCTCCCCTGGTGGAAATGGGGAATTCTTTCTTCGTGGTTATGCTTACAAAGGACCTGGGCATGTTCTTCTTTCTCGTGTACTCTACATGGACTCCATCACATGTACTCAGTCACAAACCCTTGCGACTCCACCTGGTAATATATTCAGAAATGAGCTACCTCATTATCTCTTGAGCCAGGCATCACTTACTGTATCATGAAAATGGTCTTCCAATCGGGCTGCTGCCACCCACAGTTTCTCCTCTCACTGCCAAATTAATCATTGTATAGCAAAAATTAGTAAGTGTCTCATTGTTCTATTCAGCCCCCTGAAATGGCTCCTTAACTCTTCAGAATAGAAAATAGATGTAGGGGAAGCTTTAGGCAGCCCCTAAGCAGGCATATTACAGCTTCCCCTACAAATAGATCTTTACAATAAATTATTAGATTCCAGGAGCTGGTTCTTAAATATTTATTTGCTTAGGCTGGTTCTTGATCTATAGGCAAAGCTGGCCTGGAATCCAGGCTTCTCCTTCCTTATTGCCTGAGTTCTGGGTTTATACACAAGCAGGACCACCCTAGAAGGGACTGGTTCTAGGAGTGCTCTGGTCTTTTTTCTTCCAACTTTCCTACCCGTCCAAATTTGTTACCATGGCTTACTTGAGATCAGTTATCATGGCAGGTATCTGCTTTGACCTAGCTCTCCTCTGCATGGGATGATCCTTATTCAAAACAATAAAATACTAACTTTTTTGGGTCTTGAACTAATTATTTTATTTTTTCAAAGAACTAATTTTTTTGAAATTATAATACAACTACAATTTCCCCCTCCCCTTTCCTCCTTCCAAACTCTCCTGTGCACTACTATGGTTGCTTACTTTACACAACCCCTGTTCTATTTTAAACCCACTGTCTCTTTTTTTCCGTAATGTGTGTGTGTGTGTGTGTGTGTGTGTGTGTGTGTGTGTATTCCTAAATACATAAATACAACATTTTTCAGTCTGTATAATGTATATAACTGTTTTCATGGCTGATCTTTTGGTATTGGATACTCAATGGCATGTGTGCTCTTGGTCTTGGTGCTTTCTTTTTCATGAGGTTCACTCTGAGTGGTCTGTTTTAAATACCTGCTCCTAAATACCTGGATCTAACACACCTGTGTTGCTTTGTTTCATTCTCTCTGCCCCCCAAACTGATATTTCTAGTTTACTTTCGGGATATACTTTTAGCTTATTGTCTACCATTGTTCTCTTTCCATAGAATGTGAGTTTCAAATATGAATGGATTTTCATTTTGCTCATTAATTTAGTTTAGTGCAGAGAACAGGACTGGACATTGCACATGTTCCGAAAATATGCATTAAATTTTTGGGGCTATAACCTGGCCAAATTGGTCTTGCCATGATTCAAGGCTCCGTTTAGAAGACACAGACCATGCAAATGTACACACAAAGAAAGTAAATTACTCGGGAATTTCTGGAGCACTCAATCATCCTCCAGGTCTCCTTCCCTGATGTCTCATCTCATCATTGCAGTTGCTAAGACACTCAGCGTTTACATACCCAGTGAGACTAAGAAGCTCTTCTATTTTCTTACTCTGTGTTCTCATTTTAACCATGCCCCCTGCCTTGAAAATAACTGTTAAGTCTGGCTGGGATTTGGAAGGAGAAGCATGAGCCAGAATGTACTTCTTTTCGGAGAATTTGGGCAAATGGAAGATAACTTGGTGCATAACGGGAAGCTGTAGAGCTCCTGTTAACAAGCAAATATTCAGAGATGCATTTGCCCATTGCAGCTGCAGAAATATAGGCAAAGACTTTGTACTCTCATCTAGAAAATCACAGGTCCCGGGTCACTTTGTCACCACCTCTTCCATGAATTTATATGAAATGAAGATGGCTTATATAGCACATAAAATACAAACGGGACATTATAGATTAGCATTTTTAACTGAGAACATTGTAAGTCAATAAATCTTACCAATGAGCATTGGATGTGCACACATTTTTGCCCTTAAAATCTGCTAGGGTACAGAAAATGGTGTCCATGATGTGATATGGTTTATGTTAACTGGGGTGGAGCACCCACTGTAAACATGGGCAGGGCCATTCCATGGCCTGGGCTCCCAGACTAAATCCAACTGAGGAAGGAAGCTGAGCACCAGTATTCTCCTGTCTGTTTCCAGACTACAGATGCAACATGACCACCACCTTCTGCTGCCAGACCCCCCTTTCACAGTGGACTGTACCTCCTGAAATGTGGGCTGAAACAAAGACTTCCTTTCTTACACAGATTTCAACAGGTGTTGTATTATAGCAACAAATCAAGGAATGTGGTTGTCACTTCAAATGCTACTTCTGACAGTTGCAGAGAATATGCAGCATGGACAGTGAGACTGCCTCCTTCTAGCACAGAGTAACCAAACATGAGATTTATGTTCCCTACTCTGCATCTTCCTCATGCTCCCTCCTCACGCTGAGCTGACTACGAGTTCTCTTCATTTACTCAAATTTCATTCACTCTTTGGTGGACACCCTTCCATCTCAAACTTGCATAAAAAGCTCAACATTCTCTATCCTTATTTTTTCTTGAGGAAAGACTTTAAATAGGATGACTAGGAATGCAATATTTGAAATGAAGGAACAATGCTGCTTGTGCACAGAGCTGCGTGAGGCCAGTGGATAGTTCCACAGAAGTTACTGTCTCATTAAAGCCACTGACTCACAGAGACCCACCAGGTTCTAGTGCTTTCAATATTTCTGTAACTAGAAGAAATAAAATGTGAGCTTGTAGAAAGCATGTGGATAATATCTATTATTAGACAAAAGGTCTCTGAATTGTTCATCTTTTAGTTTCTCTTGCTATCATTATTATAAACTTCCAGCTAATATATTATAGATGTCTCCTAAATTAGGGGTATATGCTGCCAAAATCATTTGCTGTTCTATTAATATAAAAACTGTGTAGGCTGGTACTAGCAACATTCCCACAGATGTAACATAAATGAACAGGGTGTTCCTCTTTCTCCTGCTATAAATATATTCAGGCCTCAAAAAGTTAGAGTCTAGCTGGACAGTGTTGGCACACACCTTTAATCCCAGCACTCTGGAGGCAGAGACAGGTATATTTCTATGAAATCAAGGCCAGCCTGGTCTACAGAGTGAGTTCTAGGACATCTGGGGGCTACACAGAGAAACCCTGTGTTGAGAAACAAAAAGTTATTCTATGGGGACCATGAACCATAGCCAACATAAAACAAAGTCACTATGAACTGGAAGGTACCATTTGAAGGATTGCTCTTTTTCTTTTGTGGGATACATTAGGTGTCTTGATTGGCTGCCTGAGGATCTCCACTAAACACCCTAAAGACTTTGAAGTCTGCGTGTGGGGATATCAAATTGAAGCACAAACACTATTTTCTTTTGTTAATTTATTTGTATGTGTTTGTGGTTGTCAGAATATGCATGGACATCAGAAGGGAGCATCAGACTCCCGGGAGCTGGACATACAGGCGCTGTGAGTCACCTGCCATGTGTGCTGGGAACTGAATTCAGGTCCTCTGCAAGAGCAGCAAGGACTCCTAACTGCTGAGCCATCTCTCCCACCTGTCTTATTTCCAATTTTAAAAAGCAGCTTTCATGAACTCTCATCTCATAAAATACGAAATGAATGGAATTAATGATAGCCCCTCCTCACCAGATCTGACACTGGCTGAAAAATCTAAAGCAGTTCACTAGGTTAGCATAAACTTTAATTTCAGATAGTTTTCAAAGACAAAGTATCTCAGAATGGAATGTCTTAAGCTCAAATGAAAAGCAAACCTTAGAATTAGAGTATTCAGGATTTGGGAAGATGGATGTGATACTGTGTGTCATAGAAGTATTTTGCCTTTCCAGTCTGTGTAAACTCACAAGCAAAATAAAGGTGTGACAGTAGTAGGGGACTTGCTGGGAGGAGCTTCCATGGAACAGGAAGTGGGAAAGAGGTGGGTGGGGGGAGAAAACAACTAATAGTTATATTAATGTAAGATGAGCTTACCTGTCTATGATGGCACACATGTCAATGGTGACATTTGCAAAGCTTCCTGGCTTCCTCTGCGCCACTTCGTATAAATTTACAAGCTGGTCATCCACCTGAATGAGCTGCATGCATCCTTGGAATGATGGTTGAAGGGCAGAGTGACTGGCATTGTTCATGTGGTTCAAAAATCCTGTGAAACAGAAAGAAGATCACAAGGGGCACCCAGAATGCTTCATTAAAGGTTTCCTAAGCATTTGACAGGACGCAGACATCTAATAATGGCTTTTCTTTGATTTTTGCTGACATTGTACAGGGGTGACACCTCTTGAGTATGTGAGATTACTTTAGGCAACAGTCTGGGTTGGGGAGCTGTTTGAATGGGAGTTGTCCCCATAGACACATGTATTCGAATGCTCATTTCCACAGTTGGTGGAACTATTTGGGCAGGATTAGGAGAGCAGCCTTATTGGACTCGGTATGTCCCTAGCTGTTCCACAATCCAGATTTGCCTACTTAACAAATTTAAACTGTACTCATTAATCTTAAATTATTTACTAGTTCATTCTTTCCAATATTGTGTGGTTGGCAATAAACCACCAATGCATAAAGAAGAATGAGGGCCAACACATGCCATTAAATGAATAAAAGGGTATATTTAGAAAAGAAGCAGAATTTGGTCATTAAGTGATTCTTTACAATGTCCTAGTTTGGTCGACTATAGTCATTGTTGTCTACAATAAAAACAACCCTTTTCTCATTTCCTTAATAGGTGTCAATATGTAAATTCTGAAACCTGTCATTTGAATTTCCTTTCAGGTTTCATTTCAGAGATATACATAATTTTCCACCAATATAGCACTAGGTAAAAGGATTATGTTTAATTCTCTACTTAAAATGACATGCTCTGTTTTGATAAATTTACATGGTTTGTATGTGTGTATGAATGTGTGTGTGTGTGTGTGTGTGTGTGTTCTTGTGTATGCCTGTATATGTATGTATGCATGTGTTTCTAAGCTATGTATTTTTATCAGCATTTACTTAGTGTCTTTACAAAAATGCTGACTTTTGGATAAGTTGTCTATTTAGAATAGTTGTATACAGACAATGTGATTTCCACTTGTCTAATTGTGATAAAATTGAGTAGATTTTAATGGCTAAACTTAGCAGACAGAAAACATGCAGCTGTAACTTTTGTGGCTGCTCTTAGCAAGGCTATCATTGGGTTCAGTTTTTGTGAATACTTAGGAGTCTAAACATCCACATTAACTTGGGAGGATTTTGAAATGAGTAACTCTTTATGAGAGTGAGAACGTCTGCGAAGCAAAGCAGCTGCATAAATGCTCATCACTTCCAACTGGGTGTGATTAAGTTCCCAAAACAAGACTTCAGCATCCACTCACAACAATGTTCTGTTTGGGCTTGATACTTTTGGAGTCTGAAATTGTCAAGTCTTTTCATGCTCTTATATGAGATGTATTCTAGGAGAAGATAATTATAGGAATAATCACTACATAGCCATTGAAAATAGTCCTTATTCTTATATTATCCTTAAAGCTTCTTAAGAGGGATCCTATTTGCTATTGTATACAGCATCCGCACTCTTCTGCAGCATCTTTAGGCCCTGAGTTTGTCTTATTTCTATAGACAGCAGAAAACTGTGAACGTGGTATAAGGTCCATTTCTAATCTTGTATGTACAATGGCTCAAATTGGCCATCGGGCAGTGTTGTGGAGGCCTATGAGAGACAATAAAAGACTTTCAAGACTGCAGATGTGTTATGTGTCATGGGTGGGGTGGGATGAAGATTGGATTATTGTTACCCAATCATAGGAATGAATAAATAACTTCTTGCTGGAAACAAATTACAATAACACCCCAAAGGAAAATTCAAGTTAGCTTAATGAGCCTTCAGAGAATTATTGGTCAGAAGCCCAATGTCTCTTGGGGAAGCAGTCAGTAACAACAAAAAGGAAAGGAATAGAAATGGCCCTGGAATGAAAGCACACAGGATCCTTACTGTGTTGTCGGGCAAAGTCTAACAACATTGTGGTTGTCTTCAGGTACCATTGCTGCAATGAAACACCATGACCAAAAAAATTTGGGGAGGAAAGAGCTCATTTGTCTTACACTACCAAACTACTGTTCATCAATGAAGAACAGGAAATCAAACTGGGCAGGATCCTGGAGGCAGGAGCTCATGCAGATGCCATGGAGGAGGGCAACTTAGTTGGTTGCTCATCCTGTTTCTTATAGAACCCAGGACCACCAGCCCAGGCATGTTACAATACACAATGGGCTATGCACTCCCCCATCAATCACTACTTAAGGAAACAGGCTTGCCTAAAGCCCCATCTAATGGAAGCATTTTTCTTGATTGAGGTTATCTCCCTTAACATGACTTTAGCTTGCATCAAGTTGGTATAAAACTATCCACCACAAAGGACCCCTTGTCAGCTTGAAATACAAACAAACCACTGATAAAGCCCTAACTTTTCCTCTCTTGTTAATCCCCCTGACTATACTTAGTATTGACATCACAACATAAAATATTTTCAAACTTATAAATCCCACAGACTTACAAATTCAAACATTTCAAAAATTCAGCCTCTTCCAAAAATAAAAAGTGTCTTTTAAAATCCAAAATCTTTCAACTGTGACTCCTAATTTAAAATTAAAGCACAAATACTGTCTTTCTTTCTTTCACAGGGGGAAGAACTAGAGTGTAATCCCAACACGAATAAAGCAAAACCAAACTCCAACCATGTAAATAACTCTACATTCAATGTTTGGATCAACTCACAGGCTGGGGAGGGGAGCAGTTAAAAGGGGGATGCCAAGCTGGTTTTAGCAGGATTCTAAGTGAACTGGTAGGCTACCATCGACAGACACTCTGAGGCAATGAGCTAAATATGACTCTCTTCCTTCAAGCTGTTTGGTTCAAATATTTTATCCTAGTGATGAAAAACTGACTAACAGAAGCTAAAGTAAATTCTTAGTTGTAAAGAATCCAGGATGTTATAGCCTTTGAAGCAAAATCTGTCTTAATTCCACTTCACTGGGACAGTGAACAATACAAGAACAAAGAAATCACTGCCAATGATCAAATACCAGGACAGGTCATCTAGTGATGACAAGGAAATCTATGTCAACACCTTAGAGAGATGTGAGGTGATGTGCTCAAAAAAGATCCATGAGAGAAAAGACCCATTCAGCAGCTTCCTCATCATCTCCCAAACCCCAGACAAGAGCATTTCTCTGATCTTAATGGTATTTTGTTCAGAAGTGGCTATCTTCACGAGACTACAGATCTACAGATTGCTTTCTATTAAATGGCTGTTTTTAAACATTTATTTTTATATCTTTGCCTTTTGAAAAAATTATTTTCTTTCTTTCTTTCTTTCTTTCTTTCTTCTCTCTCTCTCTCTCTCTCTCTCTCTCTCTGTGTGTGTGTGTGTGTGTGTGTGTGTGTGTGTGTGTTATAACACACACCATGTTGTGTATATTGAAGCCAGAGGACTATTGACAAAGTCAGTTCTTTTCTTCTACCAAATGAGTCCTGGGTAACAAATTCATATCATCAAGCTTAACAGGCTCATTTACCCACTGAGCCATCTTGTTGGCCCAGTTTGTATTTTAGCAACAGGGCCTGGAACTCCTCATATTTCCATCTCCACCTCTTGAATGCTGTGGCATAGTGTTCTACTTCAGTGGACAAATGTCAATAACATGGCCAGGAATCACATGGTTTTGTTTGTTTTAAGGACATTGCCTTTAGGAATAATGCCATCAGATTTGACCACCCTGTAGTAACAGAGACAGAGAGCACAAATATAAAGAAACTTTTAGACCTCACTCTATGGGCAGAAAAACTGAAACTGAAAACATAGACTACCTATTAGGAAGAAGAGAAAAATGGGAAGGGGAAGAAGAGGAGATAGGAACGACTCAGGTTGGCAGAACAAAGAAATAAAGATCAAAGAGTTGTGAAAACCAGTAGGTCTAAATCCTAAAATGGAGTTACCATCCTGTGGCTCACCTGGTTCTTGAAACAACATAGACCAGTGGTTTGGTTCTGACTTGACATTGGTAAGGTTCTGAAGTTTTCACACAGATATTCTAAGGAAATACAACTTCAGAAATGACTTTCAGAAGAGACGTGGACTTTGTCCATGGATGAGACATGAATATTCATAAACGTCTACTCTATTTTCAAGATGGCTATCAATCATCCCACTAAATTCTATGAACCCTGGTATACTCTCCTCCCACATCAAACCAGTGCTTACTTGTGTAGGATCAATAGAGCACTGAGCAGTATTTACATAGGTGAATATTCTTGAACTCCACCCAGGTAACTCCTGGGAAAGCTCATCCCCTTGTACTATACCCGGTTGGTACTTTACTCTTATGCTCAGATTTCTGTCCTAAAGTTTAGCAGATAAAACTCCTTATCTGACCTGAAGTCCACTAAGTTTACTCTTCCTGCTGACAAAGTCATTCCTTACATCTTCAATGTTTTAAAATTTTAATTCAGAAATACATCAGTGGAAAAAAAATGTTGACACTTGTTCTGACATCAGAATATAAACAGTTGCAAGTTATACTGTGAATCTGATTGAACAGAATTTAAAAAATAGATAGTAGGCACCAGGATTGGGAACATAAATGGCTGAAGAACACTGTTTCTCTATTATGTTTGTTTTAAAGTTGAGGGATGTTAAGGAGCTTGGAGGGGAGGCTGACAGCCTGCTATAAAGTCTTCAGCATTTTCTTTCCAATGAAACCTTGGGAGAGTGAATCAAGTGTTTACTAAATCACTGCCTACTCAACCTTTCTGAAGGAAACAGTCACAAATGTATACAGCAGCAGCAGCAACAGCAGCAGCAAAAGCTGTTTTCAAGTGAGCATGGAGTCAGAAAGTGCCAGGAAGACTCCACCTGCTGTGGTTGGGAGACTGTCTAGGGTACAGGTTAATGGAGTTGATACATTGATACATGGAGGTTAGGATGAGGCAGTCTCAACGTTAGAGACAGAGGTATGAATGTGAGAAACACTGAATGAACTCTGCCGGCTGGGGCAGGAATTTAAACCCCAAGTGTGAATTTATGGTTTTCTGTATAGGTAGCTACATACACAAGTCCATTTAGATGTAAGTGGTTGTGGATAAAATGCAGTTGGTTCCAACCATCT